CCTCGGCCTCTTTCATCCATGCTTCTCTGTCAATTTCCAAACCTTCTCTCTGTAAAGCCCTAATACCCCTTTCTATGATCTTCTCAACCATGGCAGTATTCCCGTTAGCTTCTTCCAACTTTGCAGCAGTAATCCAAATAGCTGGTTCTTTAGAAAGCTTCTCCCTCGCTTTATTGAGCACCCTCTTTGCATTTTCATAAGTTTCCAACCTCGCAAGAGCAAGCCACAACTCCACGTACAATGGACAACATTCAACAGCCCTCTGAAGCAAAAGTCTTGCATCCTCCTCATTAGCAAGCTCCACAACAGCCTTCCAAAGCCTCACCGAGTCTGGAATATGCTCAAGTCCTTTCCTCAACACCCTACTCTTATTCACATCATCATGCTCCAACTTTGCAGCCTGCATCCACAGCTTCACAGAATTTGGTATAGCCTTAACACCTCTGGCAATCACAGCCTTGGCCTCATCATTGCTCGACAAACGGCAAGCCTCCAACCACACATCCTCATTCTTGGGACACTCTTCACAACCTCTTGCAATCAACTGCCTGGCAGCCTGAATCTTCCCTGCCACCTCCTCCAACCTCGCGGCAGCAATCCAACCGGGTGGGTGCTTAGGATTCGTCTGTATCACAGACTTGAGCAATAACCTAGCCTTCTTAATATCTGAAATCTCTGCATCGCTTGTGATCTTCATACTCTTCAAGTCAGTCAAGTAACCCTTGGGATCCACCACAGTCAAGCCAGAGACTGAATCCGAAAGCCTATCCAACTTCAACGACAAAACAGTACCTCTTCCCTCACCCACAGCAGTCAAATCCGTAACGGGGGTTTGTGCCCATGGAGTCTCTGTCCCACCAGCCACCCTACTCTTTGGATCCAATGCGGTTACATGCTCTTTCTCCTGCCTCGCCTTCTCTAGTAATGTATCAGGAACTGGGACAAAACTCTCAAATCTCTTCTTCTTATTCCTCAAAGAATAATCCCCTATTTCTGGGATATTCTCCCACTCTTGACTTGACAATGTATGCAACTTCCTCTTCAAATCTGCAAACTGTTCTGTAATTTTTGGATTCGAAGCACGATACTTTTCAATTTCCTGTTTTAGTCTTGCCTCCCTTCTATCCTTCCTACGCGAATCCATCCTCTGGTCTATAGCCTCCCATACAGAGTCGGCCTCCTTATCTTCATCATCGTACTCCGCAGATGCAAACAACCCCACATCATTACCCTCAAACTCATCAAATTTTTGGTTTTCATCATACCCCTTCTCTTCATTCTCCTCCTCTTCTTCCTCCTCCCCAGGACCTTTCCCACGTCCCCTGCCAACACCAGCTGCCCCAGGAGCCCCAGTAGCCGCGGCCGAGCGATCTGGTAGGTCAGGCGCTGCTCGGGCCGGACCAATATCAGAACGTGTAGTAAACCCAGTAGCACCACGTCCCAGCCCAGCAACATAATTCGCCGGCGGTTTCGTATTAAGAAATTCTAGTCTACCCCTGGGTTGCACCGGAGCTTGCATACCGCCAAGAAGCGGGATGTGTAGGGTTAGGGTTGAGTTCCGTGAAACCCCAAGCTGGGAAAGCAAAACGGCAGCATTTTGAGGGACAGATAACAGGCGGGGAGACAAGTAGAGGCGCTGCTGGGAAATGGGTAATCGATAAATTTGCTGAATTTTTAGAGCAAGAGCTTCAAGAGAGGTAGTATTTGGGCTTAGATCTAGGGCTAGAGTTTTGTTATCAGGGGATTTGATAAACACCATATTTGTAGTATTCTAGTTTGTATTGTGCGTGTGTAATTGCAGCGACAAACAGAGAAATACTTACCGGAGGAAATCGAGAACTTCCGGCGAAGAGCAACTGTTTCCTATCGGGCCAAATAGTGAATGAGAGAAATAAGAGTACGGGTTGGTATTTATCTAGTTACTAAACCCGACCGCCTGTTTTTGGGTCGGTTTCTTGTGATGGAAAAGGGAAATTCATTTCCCCGGTTGGAGCTCATTGGACTTATTCTTTTAAAATTATTTTCAAGCCTACATTTCATTGTATTTACAATCGAGTGTCTCTTCTATGTATTGACTTTTTAAAACAGAACGTCACATATTTAGAAAGTTTCTTGAAGATAAAGAATATCTTGAACATGCTATGTTATCCTTTTTACTACCCGTAACAACGAACTTACAAAATGGATCTATTTATCATAAAAAGATTAATAGACTACGATAAATTGGATCAAATTTGGCTGTTTTTCTTTTGGGGTCTCAAAGGGTATGATAACATATAAGAACTTTTGAATGAAAATTAAAATATTTACGATTTTGCTAGTGGTACATTGGGGTATACCTAATGGTGTATACCCCAGTCACATGGCGCGAGGGACCCATTCGAATAAAATATCATTTCTTTCACATGGGTCCCACACCCATGTGAGTGAGGTGTACATCATTCGACACACTCCATTATGTACCACTAGACAAATTCAAATATTTATGCGATATTAAAATTCAAACAACACTAATTAGAGACACATTCGAAAAGTGCTATACCAAATCTTGAAAAGGAAAAATATACTTATGTAATGAGAATGTTAGTTCAATTTATCATTAATCTCTGAATGTAAAATTGAAGTCACCTTCATGACAAACAACAAACTAGAAGAAATAGATAACTAAAATTCCTTTAGGATATCAAATTTATGTTATGTGAAAATTTTCAAAAATCTAAGGTTTTATTACTGAAGAAAAAATACGAGATATTATATTTTTATTGACTCTTTTTAACATTTCTTATTAAACTAACTAATACTTTATTCTCAAATACTATGGGTATCGTGATTCCCAGAGACATTATTTTTTGCATGGATTCCACAAGTCCAACAAATGATGAAGGCTAATATTCAAATTCAAGAGGAAACAATTTTCAATACATTTCTACTTCGCAAGGATCATTAACAAGGTACAAGAACAAACAATATCTCATGTTGAAATATGCTTTCTTCAACACGTCTTCCAACATGAACAACTATATATTGCACTTTCATTGGAGTTTTAATACAAACGGCAAAAGTATTAGTTAAATCAAAAAATGAAAACTTAAAACATAAAAAAGGGACGTAGTGTTGAACAAAATTTTTATATATAAACTATTACTTCTATGATAATATAGTCATTTTTCTCATAAACATTGTTGCACAATTTAGACCATAAATATTTAGCATTACAACATTAAAATATATCATACCTTCAATTTGAATACTCGTATTTTAAATGACACTATCCCCACGTTTCATGTTTATATCACTAGTTCCATCAAGAATGTAAAGCATATATATACATGTTAAACTACAAGAATTCTATCAATTACCACAAGAATCAACAATACTACAAAAACAATAGAAGAAAATTATTAGGTTGCTACTTCAGATCTGGCAACCTCTTCCCATTGTTCATCATCTGCCACTTCGGTCATGTCAGAATTTTATTCATCTGCTTGCCAAAAAAACCAAAAGAATAAAAAATAAAAATAAAAATTGTAGCTCTAGTAGAGTGAATTGTTTCAAAAATCACTAAACTTATACTATTGTCTTGGATTGCTCACTAAATTTTAATATGCTTCACACTGCTCTCCTCTGTTTGTATTCCATCTATCATCCAAAAAAAATCTATAACCATTTTCGCTGACGCAGCAAACGGAAAGTTGACGTGGCAACTAACGTCTGTTAAAGATCACACTAAATCAACTTTGACATCCTAATTAACATAAAATGCATGCCTGCCACATGTATTACCAAAACATGTTTTTGGATTAAAAGAATTCCACAACAAAACCCAACCCACCTCCATCTTCCTTCTTCCTCCTGCCGGAAAACACGTTGGAAAATCTCGATACATGTTAAAAATGCTTACGCACTTGCAAATTTGCTGCTGGCATTGCTACGTTGATAGTAGAACTGAGCATTCTTTGAAGTCCAAACAAAATATAGAACTTAGATTCAATCAACGAAATGTTATGGTCCAAATTTACAAATAAATAGCAAATCCCAAAAATCTTAAAAAAACAAATAGCAAATACCACAAACGTGAGTAAATATTTTCACAACACCAAACTTTGTGAGCAAATCCTAAAAATGTCTGGTGAAGTATTTGGTGAAGTTTGTGTGGCAATATTAGGGGGTGCTCTGATAGCCTTATTTTCCAACCTTGCACTCCAAAGCTTCAAAATATCATCTACCAGTACAAGATCCGAATCCAAGATCTGGAGGAAGATTGCTGGGTGTCGATGCTGGTGGTGATGTAGGATGTGGCGGCGAAAATAGTGGTGGGTGCAGTAGAAACAAAAATGGGGAGGATTGTCGGGGAAGAATTCTTCTATCACCGCACTCTAATTCCATGGCAGAAGGCGGTAGCAGAGGATGGTTGCTGGGTCTTGGCTTTGCCCTTTTTTTTTTGGGATTTCACGTTTTCTAATTTTTTAACTCGAAAAACATGTTTTGAAATACATGTGGCATGCATTTTATGTGGATTAGGATATCAAAGCTGATTTGGCATGATTTTAATGGACATTAGTTGCCACATCAACCTTCTATCTACCACGTCAACGACAATAAAAACGGATTTTTGACAGTGATAGATGGAGTGCAAACGGAGGAAATTTAGTGAGCAATATGAAGCATATTAAAGTTCAGTAAGCAATATATATATATATATAAAGAATCAAATTGAAGGTATGTGTGCATTAGATGGCTAGTAGTTGGACAACGGAGGCTAAAAGGCAATGATTGTTCTGTCTACCGTCCCTAATCTAAAGTATGACAATACCAAAATGGAAAATGATGGATATCCAAACCAAGATCACTTCTATTAGCATGTACGGCATACTCAGGAAATTTATCAACAGCACTTTGATTGAGGGGTTTATTAGCTTCAGCAAATCCATGTCAAATCATGTTGCCAGAGTACAAGTGCCAGAGAAAGGATAAGGGAAACCGTTGTCTAGACTTCGGAAATGATACCATGACCTTTATTTTTATTATTCAAAGTAACATATAATGTTCCAAATGCCACTTAGGATGTCACTTCTTCTCTGTATAGGTCACTTAATGCATTTAAATTCATGCTTACCTTACTGTTAATCCTTGTAATAGAAGAATCATTCTTGGTCCCATGGATCTGATCACCAGCAACACGAGGAGGTGGAGGGACATAATTTTTCAATAGCGGCAGTCTTTCAGGTTGGAAATCATCGTCACTTCCATAATCTCTCCCCGGATAAGGTCCCAAAGCTTTAAGAATTATGGCCATTAACATACTTAGTCCCTGCATATGGAGAGCACCAGAACTAAGTAAAAAAGAATAGTAATGTAAGAGAAAATGTTGCATTAAAGGAACCAACGAAAATAAGGAAGAGTAAGAATACAAAGAAAACACTTGGTATCATGCAGATGTTTTGGCAGGAAAGCAATAGAATGCCTTTGCAAGGAATAAAGAACTTAACATTGGAGTCTTTTTTTTTTTTTCCCCTAATTTTTGGAGCATTTAATCCAAGCAAATTTGTGTAGATTCTTGGATGGAGTGTCAACTGAGTTGGGCTAGTATGCCTTCTTCATGAGGCTTAGATTTTATCAAAGAAAAGCTCTCGTGTTACTGACTACACTAATTTATCTTTAAGTTCCTGTTTTGCATCCTTCATAACGAGGTAGATTTGGTAATATCATGATTTGGATAGATAGCACATCATTGCGATTTATAATCCATGATACTGATACTGATACTGATGAAACCAGTCATCTATTGGGTTTTAGTCATGAACCCAAATTTAGCTCTACCAATTCAGTCCAAATGGGAACTCTCAGCTTCTCCATTCAATCATACCGATATTCTTCTTGCCACATACTAACTTAGGCATTGGAGGGGTACGGGGGGTGCCGGAATAAACTCCCCCTACCCTTTCTTGCAGCTGTAGCAAGGACAGAAAGGAGCCTGAACTGGTGAATCACTAAAATATTTTGGCACTCTGTGGAAAGGATATTACAGTCACACATTTTCCACATCTCCATTCTGTCAAGTCTGTGTCAGATTACCTGGTTAACTATGTCGCAACCTTCTCATCGCCTTTCTATTGGTGAATAAAATTTCAATTCCTCATCATTTTCACCCTCATCCAAAATTCATGCGTAAACCTATTCATCAAATGGTTTTTGAGGCATCAGCTAGTAGAATTTGGAATAATATTAAGATTGGTAAACAAAAAGAAAAGAATACAAAAAGGAAGGAAAAGCCAAAGAAGATTAACGTGTTGGATGAAAAGAATAGAAAAAGAAGAGAAGGGTTCTTCCCTCATGGTAGAATGTGGGGACCACCATGGCAACTCTCCGTAGGAGATTTCTTACTATGTAATAGATTGAGCAGAAATTGAGCGAAGACAAGCATGGGAATGCACCAAAAAATGAAAGAGAACATTACATCAAAGCCTGAAATCCCTACACCCAAAAGAAAATGAAAAAAGAACAGAAAACAATATGAGGGGAATAAAGTCCCAGAAGGAGGAAAGCAGAAGAAATAGTACTGGAATTCAACAGCCAGATAAGTCCAGAAAACTATTCCTTCTTATTTTTGTTCACATAAGTTATTGTTTGCACAAGAATTTCCTTTAACAGTGACTGGTAGGAGGAAGTTCTAGCAACCTTTGGCTTCTTGTATAATTGCAAGGAAGATCAGTTCCAATTCTTTCACTTCCACAATAATTGGATGTAGTTTCCAATTTAAGCGGCAATCCATTTCAGATGGTGGAAATTAATTTTGGGTACTTCTTCCAGTTCATTGCCCAGAAATTGTTTGGCATAGAGCCTAGCAAAGTCCTCTGTTGTAGTGCCACTGCTGCCATAGAAAAACTCAACCAAGTTCTCTCAACAAGTTTACATCATCTTTCATCCAGGATTGTGATGTAGGATGAATAAGAAAGAAAGAAGAAGGAACGGGGAGGAGAAACAGAGAGAAGGGAGAAGAGGAGAAGAAACCAGAGGAAGAGAGGGGAGGGAGAAAACGGCTGCAAGCCACCAAAAATATTTCAATTCTAATTCATCATCAACTGTATCAAATGAGAAACAAAACAAAAATAAATAGCAAAACACAAACCCTAAAGAAAAGAGCTTGGGCCAAACCCACTAAACAAGCCCAATAACGAAAACATAAACAATAGTCCAAATAAAATATAACTAATAGTCCAAATAGAAAATAAATAATAAATGGATGTCCGCATCAACTCTCCCGGGGTGGAAAAAAAACTCGACCCCGTCGAGTAGATAAAGTAGAATGTTGCACTGAATCTGATGCGAAAGGCTCCAAGTCATGCCACGGGGGACGATCTTTCTCGATGACCAAATACCGAAACTCCACAAATGATAACAAGGATAGTTGTAGCTTATCCTCAAGGATATGATCCAACCAAGGAGGACGATCTTTCTTTGTAATCACATACCGATACTAAACTCCCAATAGTAAAAATTCATGCCACTCATCCCCAAAATCTTCCTCATTGGTCAATACAACCTGTTTATCTAAAATAGCATCAATTACATCTTTATGTGCTGTGACATGTGTTATTGGAGTGAAAATTGTAATATCTTTAGGTTGGGGATCCACATAAGGAAGTAGAAAATGATCATCAAGGAAATTAAAAAGACCTTTGTAAGTAACTAAGTCTTCAATATATAAAGTAGAGTGGTGACCAAAATGTGATGAAAAATTAATGACATGTGCGTATGGACCAACATGCTTTAAAACTTTAAAAGGACCAGCACTACCGGCTTGCAATATAACATAATCCCCAATATGAAATTGAAAATATTGTTTATGCAAATCAGTTTGAAGTTTATATAATGCATTACTTGCGTGAAGTTGTTTATTGATCTTAATATGCAAGTCATGAAGATGATGCACAAATGCTTCAACTGATATCGACACACTAGCATGTGGGGATATGAAAATAAGGTCTAACAGCCGCCTAGACTTATAACTATGAACAGCTTCAAATGAATTCAAACCTAGAGACCGATTTACAGAATTGTTAGACGCAATTTGAACAGTTGGGGGAATCAAGTCCCAATTTCTAAGATTTTTCTTGACTAGAGACTTGAATAAATTGCCAGTACTTTGGTTAACAATTTCATTTTGACCATCAGTTTGAAGTTGGTCAGTAGTGGGGAATGTTGATTTAATGCTAACCACAGGCGACTGGATTCTCCAAGGGTGGCCAGTGAAATCATCAGGCTCTTTGAGTTGTGCAAGGGTATGACATATAACATGTGACCGAGAGTTGTCAGAAACAAGGGGTATAGTATCTAAAGTCTCGGGAAGAGTCTGGAGTCCACCTAAAGAAGTGTCCTCACTATTATCCAAGTCATCAAAATCTTCAAGTTTAGGTTCATAGACTAGATCTTCTAATGGCATATCTATTACATTCTTTCGTTCTTCCATGACTAAGGTTCGATTAGTACATTTGGAAGAAATGTGGCCAAAGTCTTTACAGTTGACGCACAACAAGTGAGAAGAAGACCTTGGAGTTTCAGAAATTCTACCCTGATTTTCCAAGATTGGAGAACCATTAGAAGGGGAGGTCCTAAAAGAGACTTAACGGGAGGAGGTGGAGCCAATGAAGCTAAATGATGATTATCAAAAATTTTACCCTTATTTTTCAAAATTGGAGGAACATCAGATGGGGGAGGTCCTAGAAGGGATATAACGGGAGGAATTGGAGCCAATGACACCGAAGGATGATTGTCAATATGCTTTCTACATGGAACAGGAGATTGTGGACTATCACGACCTTTACAATTATTTTTCCAAATAAGAGGAACATTAGACGGAGACGGTTTTATGATAGACTTATGATGAGGCGACGCTAATGAGATGGGTGAGCGACGATGACCACGCTTTTCATATAGAGTACTAATAATCAACTCATAATCTCGAGCTAAAGAGTAAGCGTGATCAAGAGTAGTGACACCTCGAAGGAAAAGCTCGCGCTTAAGATCATCTCTCAGACCTTGGCTAAACCTACTCAAAGTCATGCTCTCATCTTCAATTAAATGACATTTGATTCGAAATTCCTCAAATTGCGCGATATACTCAGTCACTAATTGATTTCCTTGTTTAAGGGCATTCCATTGAGTAAGAATTTCAAAATTATCTCGTTCTCGCTCACGAATCTGATCCCTATTCCTATCCCTATCTTTACGATCGGATCAAAAGTATTTTTGATTACCTTGTCGACGATGTTGTCTATTATGGGACACCTTAAAATTATTAACATCAATCGAATGAGGGATGTGTTTAAAATTTTTCGAACTAACAGATAAGGCCTTACTCTCTTCAAGAGTAGCGGTCATTTGAGTTTGAATAGCCGCTATTTGTCGGGTGAGTGCATCAAATTGTGAGGGGTTCATGTTTAAGATACTAGAGCTAGAAGTGACAAGATGACCAATATGTAACTATATGCAAAGCAATACTGCCTAAATGAAATGCAATAGAGAGATCAATATGCATCAAGGACCAACGATTAAAACATCAATTTGAAATTCTCTCTCTCTCTTTTCTTCCCTTCCAAAAATGCAAGTTAATAGTGCTGATGCTTGTAAATAATAAAGTAAGGGTCCAATGCTTGTTAAGATCAAATGGTATTGTTAAGATTTCCAATCAGGTAGATAAAAGAGGTAACAATGGCACATCAATTCAGTGAGATAAATGGGGCAACAATGGCAAGTCAATTCAATGAGTGATTCCAGTCAAGTGAAGTTTGAGGCCAAAGTTGTGATAGTAACAGCAACACAAAGAATCTAAGTGATGCACTTTTAAAATAAAACAGCAGTATAAACCAATGAGAATTAGGAGATAGCAACTCCCTGTAGTTTAGTTTTGATTATTTGTATGCCGCTTGATTTGAATTGCCAACTTATGAGCCCCAACTATGCTTCTGTTCTTCCCTTCGTGTCCAATGGTTTTAACCTCTGTTGACTGTAAAACTGAGTGTGGTGACTGTGGCTTTTAGATTGTTGAGATGGACGAGGAAATATATGAGTGTGGTAACTTTGGTGGAAGTCTATGATCTTGGGTTGGTGGTGGTGGCCTATGGCGATGAAGCGGTAGTGTTTTAGATGCCTGGGTACAATAGATAATGAAGTGGTAGCGTGATGGTGATTAGAGGCGATGGCAGCAAGAGAGTGGTTGTGAGAAAGGAATCGGGTGAAACTGTGAGGTATTTGATGTTAATTGATTGGTTATAATCGGGCTTGGTCGGATATTTGGGACTGGGCCAGATGGGAAGGGGTTTAGATCCTGTTATAGAGATGGGCTAGTTTGGGTTAGTGTTTGGAGAATGGGCCTGGGTCGTAGAGAGTAGGCTGGGCTAGTTGGGCTAAATATGTGATAAATGGGCTGAGGATTGGGTTATTGGCCAGATTGGATAATTGGGTTGATGTAATGGCCTTATTGGGCTGAATATGAGATGTGGATAATGGCCTCTAGGACTTGGGCTACTTATGATTATGTGGATGTAGATTGAGTCTGAGTAACGGGTTAAATGATTTGGAGACTAGAATATTTGACTGGGTGTTATAATGGGCTGTTTGGATTAATAATTGATTGTGTGTATGGATTAGGGTTTGCA